GGGCCGGCCCAAACAAATTTTGAAGCTATAGGACCCCAAAAATTGTGCCCTGCTTGATTTAAGAAAAAAAAATTGGACTTTTCTCAAGTTTCTTTATATTATTTCAAAAGATGGACACTGATTTATATGTATATTTTGTATATGTGTGGGTTCAAGTTTTTTTTCGAAAGCAATTGAGTCAATTATGATATATCCTTTATAATGTCTTACAAAACAGTATGTGTATGTGGGCTATATCATACTAATCTTCCCTTGTCCCACTTGAATCGGGTCTCCATATTCATTGATACGTGGCTCCCAACGTCTTTGTAGTCTAGTGATTGAATATTCTTGATTTTGAAGTACTTTTTTAATTCGATTGATATCCACTTAAACAATTTTTAATAATATAACGATGTAAATAATGATAGGTACAGTTCTTCGCCAGATAAAAACAACAAGGACAAGCCAAAAATTAAAAGAGTAATACAATACTGTGTCGTACGTTTCCATCCCGTTAGGGACTCATATATATATATTACCATATAGCAATGCTAGTTACATATCTTACATAGTCATATCAGCAATGATTTCTGATATAATTTACATATCAACTATACACCTAGACCTAGTATCGTTTTTGATTGAAATGGTGGCATATTCGTTGATCAAACTAGACATGAGGCATTCATCATATATATCACCCACTTGATTTTGGAATGACACAAAATTAAGACCTACATTTGGAGTAAAGTTCTAACAATCGTCTGAAATTATAAAGAAAAGCATTGCAACGTAGCTGGCCACGAAAAAAAATGTGCCAAGAAGTGTGATTAAATGACGATGCATGAAATGGTGATAGCGACAATTTTTTTGTAGATCATGTTACTTAAGTTAAGTAATATCAGATAATTGTGCACGTATAATATATGACATGTTCTATAAACTTGTATACCATCTAAAACGTAGACTTTAAATTGGACGTTTCAAACGCTAACTGGTATAGATAGTTATCCGTTTGACGGCCAGCGTTTTTTTGTTTCAACACGGACAGACAGATATATACACGTAGACAATTGAAAACAGCATATTCGTATATATTTTGAAAATTAGTTCATTATGCGAGAACCGAAATAGTCAAATATGTCATTCGTGACGAAAACAACTAGCAAGCATTAACTGATTATATTCTAGAAATTGTGGAGTGTGCACAGCTCTAGTACTGTGACTAAAATTACGATTCTACTAGAAAATTCGAAGTATTCTTCTCTTTTTATTTTGTAAGTGTCTAGAACATTTCACCTTCGATGGTAGATTTCCGTGTTTAAAATTTCATGTTTTGGGATTTATAATATGGTTTTGTGATTTTAAAATATTGAATTAATATAGAAGTGTAAATTGAATGTATAAGCGATCGATAACATCTAGCCCAACAATCTTGTAACTAGTAATTAATCGAGCATACAACTGATTACGTACGTAAGTCTTGAGGTAACTAATCGAATCAGATACGTGTCGATGATCTAATTAATTAGATGACTAGATCGAATACCTAACCGATTATGGTAAAAATCCAAACGGTTAATTTGCCATCTTCACGTAGATTCGATGTCTGGTTAATTATGAACCAAAAATATCTTCTTTTCTGTAGGCTTCTAGAAACCATTATGTGTAAAAAAGTCTTTTAGTAGAAAGGAGCTCATACTCGTTATATTATTTTATGTAATTGATTTGTGTGTTTAAAATAGTCCATGGGTTGGACATTTGACCATAAAACAAGTTTCAAAGCCTTTGACGCTTATCTTAACATTCTCATCACAGATTACGTAGGATTAGTCAATGACAGTGGAGCCATCCCCTAATCGTCCATAGCCAATCCTCCTCTCTTTTTTAACCTAATTTCAAGAATAAAAATCAATGTCCCTTTATACATGACAAAAGAAAACGGCAAAAAACATTGACAAGAAAATTGAAAATAAGGTCGATTTTGAAAATTTATGGTTCCTTTTTACAGCGCACTGATTATCTTCATTTAATTCAATAAACGGTCCAAAAAGGTTTGACACATTTAATTTGTAATTCTGTTCATACGAAAGGAAAAACCAATCCTCAAACTTTGACCAATACAATTCGGAGAATATGGAAAGAAAAACTAATAAAAAGTTAACACGAGGATGGAAAACTATAAAAACAATGAGAATGGTCAGTGTATATAATAATTGTATGCTTTCAAAAAGTTTCATAAAGCTAAATATATTAGTCTATATTTTTGGCCTCTTTTTTTGCATAATCGCTATATTTTATCAAATGATGTGATATAAAAATATTCACACGTTATTTCGTTTGGTGGGTATTTCGTTTTACAAGACTGATAATACTAAAGATGGTAAAGTTAAGAGATAAAATATCACCTAGGAATCTATCGCATCAAACGATATTTTCAACTTTAAAGTATTATTTCTTCATAAATAAGCTAGATATTTACGAAGAGGAAGACATGTCAAAGTAAGTCGAAGTGTGTATACAATAGGACCCCTGAAATGTGATATGTCGGAATGCACATAATAAGTTAAAATGTTCGATTGCATCAACTCAGTTTTATGTATTTTATGGAAATTGAAAATACAGGAATAGGCTTCTATTAGACTGGTACGTACGTTGTATCTAGAAAATATAACAAGTCGGAGATCTCCCCTTGGTCTACTGATTTTATATCTTAAGTTTTGCGTATTTTATGATTATCTCTGTTCAGCAAAGTAAAAGAAAAGAAAAAAAACTCTTAATCTAAAAAAGGTGGTTTATTACAGTAAAAAGGTTTCCCATATAATTACACAGTGTAATAAACCATTTTTTTAGATTAAGAGTTGGTTTAGGTTTCTGCACGTTGATATTAATATTGCACCTGAAGAAAATAAGGAGCTGACATAGAAGCTTCCAAATGATTTGGTGCCATTTCAAATCATTAGGATGAAAATTAAGAAGAATATATATTATATCATATATGAGTCGTCAGCTAACTGGATCCAACCCCCTGAAAAGGACGAATCTTTTCATCATGCGCGTCGTCAGCTAACTCGCCGTAAATAAGACCATCATTTATTTGTAATAGGATATGTAAAAAAGTTATAATTATTTTAACCGAAACACTGTAATCATAATTATTTTATTATTGGTTACAAAAAAAAATTAGAATAATTTTTCTAGCTAAAATCCAAAGCACCAATTTATGGTGATATTTAGAAACATTTTCTACCTAATCATCTAAACACTTAAGTTACGGCATTTCAAATCATATTAAATTACAAAACCACTTTAGTACGTACACCGGATTTACAATGAATTATTAACGTTACTTAATATGTTTTTAATTATTGTATTTTTCCGTCGACACTCGGTCCCGGGTTTCTCGAGCAAAATAAATTTTAATAAGAAGACAAAAAAATAATCTAAAGAAGAAGAGTTTTTGTATTTTCTTTCGTAATATAAAAAGCCTCTCCATTCACATCTAATTCTCTTCATCTCTTTATTTCTGATTTCTCTCACCAAAAATATCAGTTTCTCTATCTTTAGTCTCTTCTACAAACTCTCATGCCCCAAGTTGATCTTGAAGCCTTTGTTTCTTCAGTATGCGCCGGTGGCTCCGACCGGAAGATCGCATGCGAGTCCACCTTCGCTGACGACCCGGAAACCCGACCAAACAACAACAACAACTCCACCGCGAGTCCGACTGATTTTCCGCCGGAATCTTATTTCTTATCCAAAGATGCTCAGCTCGAGTGGCTCACCGACAACGCCTTCTTCGACCGCAAAGATTCACAGAGAGGAAACTCAGCAAATATCCATTCCAACCCCAGCTCGAATCCTAGCTCTCAACGGTTTATACTGAATTCCAAAGCGTCGATCATCGGTTTGCCGAAGCCGCAGAACACGTGTCTGAACCAGGCGAAGCAGCGGAGAAACGGCGGCAAAACCGATAAGAACCGGGTATTCCTGAAACGGGTCGGGTCACGAGCGAAGACGGATTTTTCGCTGCTCGAGCCTTCTTCTCCTAACGTCTCTTGCATCGGCAGAGTGAGATCCAAAAGAGAACGTAGCCGCCGGATGCGCCGTCAAAAATCCGGTCGACCCGAGAAGGCGAACCGGGTTAAGAAACCCGGGTTTCTGGCAAGTACTTTCAGAGCAATCTTCAGGATCAGAGGCGGCTGCAAAGACCCGTCATCTCGTGGGACACACACGCCGCCGAGTAGGACACACCACGACATAAGGAGCCGGCTTCCACCGGAAAACGTTGAACCGGTGGTCCCCGGTTTGGGTGGGATGGCCCGGTTCGCTTCTGGAAGAAGAGGGGATTTGTTGGGAGGATGAAAGACGTGGCTGTGACAAGTGTAGTATATTAATGGGGCCCAGTTATATAGTGTTTCAAGTCCCTGGGGAAGTAGCATTTAGTGATTGGTTGTCTTGTCTGAATTTTTGGGTGTGGGACCCGTTTTTAGCGATTAGTTGTGTTTTTGAAATGTCGTTGGTGCTGACGCGGCAGCAAGTGGTTAACGTTTTTCAGGAACACGGCAACGAGAAGGCGGTGATTCTCCCCCACCACACTGTTTTGTTTTGTAGTATTGTTTATATTTTATAACTTTATATGGAGCCCTTTTTGCTCAATCAATCATTAATTTAGACTTTTTTCCCCTTGTTTTCGTTGTAAATAGCTAAAGAAATATATATATATATATGCCAATCAAATCATACTTTCATTACAAAAGTGAATTTCTCAACCAACTATCCAATGACAAAAATTTGTTACAGTGAATTACAAATACTCATTTCAATGGATACATATCGTGAGGAACTATTGTGACAAGACCCAAGACGGTAACAGCACGAGACCACTAGGCCAAGTACATGTAATAAGTCCATGAAAAGTATTCATATTCAACAGCTTTTGGAATTTGACTCTTCACAAAGACTTAGTTGAAGATTATTGGAACAAATAAAACAAAGCAAAAGACGAAAAATGGGGCATTTCAGTGGAGTGTTGAGGAGGGTTCTTGTTGCTTGTGATGCCAAGCGACAACGTCTTTGTAAGGTAGATTTCCCCCAAAAATGTCCAATGCACTTCCCACTGTTACATCCACACGTCCCTTTCCTGCTTCTTTGATCCTCTCCACATCATCCATCACCGTCACGCCTCCCGCATAAGTTACCGGAATCTGCGGTGGTCACAATTAAATCAGCTAAAACAAAACCAATCAAATTTGCAATCAAGACTCAAGAGTTTCTCTAACATGTCCACTGATACAATCTTTTATAACAAACGAGCAATTCTAGAGCCTATATGATACTCTCAGATAAAGAAAAATGTTTATGTGTTACTCACCGGAGAATAGTTGCCAAGCAAAGCTACAAGCTCTTCATCGATCCCTAGCCTTGTGAGAACCAAGTATATAGGATCAGTATGCTTTAAGCCTTTAACTACTGTAATTTCAATGCCAAAACAATCCATTTTTAAGTCACTGAGATAAGTTAAGCTTACTTCTTTCCTTCAACATCTACACCGTGCACCAGAAACTCATCTGCAAATCCTCCAAGAAACTCCAATGATTTCTCATCAAGCAAGACGTCGCTGAACTTCTGCCATCTATCAGTAACGATTGCGTATCTTCCATCCTGTGCAGCAAAAGAGATCTCTTTTCATGACAGAATACATAAAAGCATTTTAAATAAAAATAAAAACAGGTCAGAGAATCACACCTTCTTTCTGCAGCTAAGGTCCAATATCAGTCTTTGTTTCCCAACAATCTTCACAAGATCCTTCAGTCTTTCAAGATCAAGCTTACCATTGTTAAATACATACTGAAAATACCAACAAAAACGTGGTCACAACGAGCAAAAAGCCCTTATGATATAGCAAATTCAAAGAGTCTCTATGGCTAGTACCGAAGTGACAATGACATGGCTTGCTCCCTCTTCAATGTAACTCAAGCAATTCTCTGAGTTGATTCCACCTCCAACTTGCAAACCGCCTAGAATTCATCGTCTTGTATCATAATACGACACATAAATGAAAAAACTTTTACATTTTCGAATCAAACAGTAAGATATTAAAATTCCATTCACATTAACCCCAAAGGCATACCGAGATAAGCATGTAATGCTCCAATAGCTGCAGCTTGGCTTAAAGGGTCTGCTCCAAGCATGATCACATGACCACCCGTAAGCCCATCTTCTTTGTACATCTTCGCATACTCTTCCGCTGATTTGTCCGATTCAAAATTCGTAACGAGAACCGAACCATCTTCCTTCAAGTCACTTAGAGTCGATCCAACTATTTGTTTCACTTTACCCTTCGAGAAATATATATGATCCAATTAGTTACATCAAGCAGAGAGTTCCAATAAAAGGATTCAGATTTCAATATCGGCGAATTTTTGATTCAGTTACCTTGTGGATGTCGATGCAAGGTCGGAATTGAACAGCGGATACGACTTGCACCCTCGACGATCCTGCAAGATATATTCAAAAGGTTCAGTTCAGAAATTTGAGATATTGCGGAAAATGCAAGAACAGAACATATGAATCCGGTATACTTTTTGTCTTGGTAGAAAACAGTGGTCCGGAGAATTTGAGGTGGTTGTTTAAAGGAGAGCTCTGGTTCTTCTGGAACAAAGCGATACCACCATTGGAGAGCAATTGAGAGCTGCAAGTTGTCATCTTTGGAGCTGAAAATGGAATTTTTAGGAGCTACAGCAATCAAAAATCTGGGCAGTGTGTGGCATCTATGGCGTTTCGAGGTTTCTAGGGCTTTGAATCTCGGTTTAAATCTCGGTTTGTTCCGGTTTGTCAAATATTAGAGATGGTTGGTTTAAAAACTTGAAATGGACTAAAGTTTGGATTTTTTTATTTTTTTTTCTCGAGTTCTTTGGCAAACAGAGTGATGCGATGGAACAAGAAGAATGTTATCAGTCTGGTCTCCAAGTCCAATCATCTTCCGGCGCCTCTCACGCCACCGTCGCCGGAGATTTACCGATTGCCACATCCTCCACCACAGCTTCCGAAGATCTCGATTCCTCCGACTCTTACACTCACTCCATCTCCTCGACACTCCCATTTCGTCAATTTCCTCGAGAACAATATCCCTCACCACCAAACCCTAACTCCACAAACTCTCATCGGATTCCTCCGCTCCAATCTCCGCCACCATCCGCTCTTCGCTCATTACGACTTCGCCGTCTTCAATTGGGCAGCCACGCTCGACACCTTCCGCCATGACCACGAATCCTTCATCTGGATGTCGAGATCACTCGCGGCCACGCACCGGTTTGAAGATCTCCATCGTCTCCTCTCTTTCATCGCTGCGAACCCGTGTCCTTGTTCCTCAGGTATCTTCTCTTGTCCGCATCTCGAACCCATTTTCCGTTCCGCCATTGATGCATACTGTAGAGCTGGGAAGATGGAGAAAGCTTCGTTAGCTTTCGACACGATGAAGAGACTGATCGACGGTAAACCGAACATCGGAGTTTACAACACTGTCATGAATGGGTATGTGAAGTCTTGCGATATGGACAGGGCTTTAAGGTTTTACCAGAGGATGGGGAAGGAAAGAGCAAAGCCAGATGTATGCACATTCAACATCCTCATCAATGGCTATTGCAGGAGCTCCAAGTTCGACATGGCCTTGGATCTGTTCAGGGAGATGAAGGAGAAAGGCTGTGAGCCGAATGTGGTTAGCTTCAACACTCTGATCAGAGGGTTCTTGAGTAGTGGTAAAACCGAGGAAGGTGTGAAAATGGCTTATGAGATGATCGAGCTAGGTTGTAGATTCTCGGAAGCCACTTGCGAGATTCTTGTTGATGGGTTGTGTAGAGAAGGTCGCGTTGATGACGCTTCCGGTTTGGTGATCGATCTTTCGAACAAAAGGGTTTTACCAAACGAGTTTGATTCTGGTAGTTTAGTTGAGAGACTATGCAGTGAGCACAAGGCGGATAGAGCGATGGAGATGGTGGAGGAGCTGTGGAAGAATGGCTCAACCCCATGTTTGATCGCTTGTACTACACTCGTCGAAGGGTTGAGGAAATCAGGAAGAACAGAGAAAGCATCAGGGTTTATGGAGAATATGATGAATGCAGGAATCATTCCCGATAGTGTGACCTTTAACTTGCTTCTTCGGGATCTCTGCGACTCTGATCGTTCGATCGATGCAAACAGATTGAGAGTATTGGCAGCAAGCAAAGGATTTGAACCGGATGAGACAATGTACTATGTTTTGGTTTCGGGATTCACGAAAGAAGGGAGAAGAAAGGAAGGAGAAGCTGTGGTGAATGAGATGTTGGATAAAGACATGTTGCCTGATATCTTTACATATAATAGGTTGATTGATGGTTTGTATGCTAAAAGTAAAACTCTCAATATGTTTTTAGGGTCCCACTAATGCGATTCCTTTTCTTCACCATTTCTTGTTTCAGAAGTGAGAAAAGGCTTTTGTTTTATTTCTCTGTCAATAAGAAAACATTTCTAAAACAAACCTATTCAAGAAACACCATTCAGAGGCATATACACACACCCACACGATTCTTGATCATACATCAAAACATCTTGCTGTATCCGAAAGAGAAAAGGTTTTCTGCAGCGTGCAGGATAGTGATCATCAGACTCGGGGATAGCGAGAGCTGCCTTTCTTCTTCAAGAACTCTGGGATCTCCACTGAACCTCCTTCTCTAAAGGAGGAAGAAGGTCTTCTTGTAGCTCCGATTGAGGCGGTCTCCGCTTGTGCCATCTGAACCGCCCTTCCTTCTCCTTCTTCTTGACGTTTGAAACCGGTTGCTATGAGGGTTATGCTTACCTTTGTACCAAAAAGGAATTATTGTAATCAACAATTTGCACATCCATAAGCTATACATTTTATTACAAGACAAAGCAAAAGGACATACTTGACCGCTCAGTGATGGATCAACAACAGCGCCGAATATAAGATTGGCAGTTGGATCGACAAGATCATATATAACTTCCGCAGCAGCATTTACCTGCAAGGACCAAAGTCTATGAGAAACAAGTCGAGCATGTAGCAAGATCAGGTTTTGCTCTAAGTTGTTTATGGATCTATGACGGAAACAAAGATGAGAGAGAAAGACCTCAAACAGTGTTAAGTCGCTTCCACCAGTGATGTTCCAAACGATTCCAGTGGCTCTCTCAATGCCAATGTCTAACAAAGGTGATTGGATCGCGTTTAGCGCAGCATCTCTTGCCCGGCTCTTTCCTGCTTGATTAGATGAATCAGCATGACGCAAACAAAACCAAACCTTGCCTAAAAGAAGTTCATGACTTTCTTTCATACAGCATGACATGAATGCATTAAGTGACAGCGAATATAAGATGGTCATTTTCAGTATACTACTCACAAGACTAGTTTCTTTACCACAGCAAATCTACTAGCTCGTTACTCTAATTAGACTACAATGTGCTTATGAAGTTATGCAGCCTAAAGAGCTTATCAGTCATTCCAAGCTTACCTGTTGCAGTTCCTATTCCCATCAATGAAGAACCCGCATTCGCCATTATAGCTCTCACGTCAGCAAAATCCACATTTACCAAACCAGGAATCTGAAAAGCGAAGGACCAAGACAGCTCTTAAAGCATTTATCATACATTAAAAAAAAATGATCACAACAAGTCCATTAAAAAAAGCTATACCGTAATGATATCAGATATCCCACGAACCCCCTGACGAAGTATATCATCAGCTAGATTAAAAGCTTCCGTTACAGGGGTAGACTGAGAGACCGCTGTAAGAAGCTTGTCATTTGGTATGACGATGAGAGTGTCAACATTGTCTCTCAGTGAAGCAAGCCCTTCTTGAGCCTGAACTGCTCTTCTTCGACCCTCGAACGAGAAAGGCGTTGTGGCAATACCAACCGTTAGTATACCCATCGCCTTGGCGATTCCTGCTATTACAGGGGCTGCTCCAGTACCAGTTCCACCGCCCATTCCAGCCTATAAAATTGGACTTTGACATTACAATAGACATCTATAAACCACACTCTTTAAGACAGATGAAGACAAGAACTAGCTGATAAGTGATACAGAAATGAAACAGACTACAGCCTAATAAAAATGCTTTGAAATCAAAGTTTATAACTACGAAGAACGGCAGAGATTTGAGTACATACTGTGACAAAGACCATATCTGAGCCATAAAGAGCCTCTTCAATAGCTTCTTTACTCTCTCTAGCAGCATTCATACCAATCTCTGGATTCCCTCCAGCACCTAAACCTCTAGTCAGCTCCTTACCAATCTGTAACCTATTGTCTGATAAAACAGGAGACATCCTCATAGCCTGAATATCAGTGTTCACGATCCAGAACTCCACGCCCAACATTTCACTCTCAATCATACGGTTCACAGCGTTTGATCCGCCACCTCCCACACCAATAACTTTAATCCTCGCCTCATTGTAGCTGCTTGGAGCAGATGGCTCCTCGAAATCCTCGGTGACAGGACCCGCGGAAGTTGTCTCCTTTCTAGGATTGGGTATTGTCGTATTGGCTCCTTCACCTCGAAGCATAGATATCTCAGGGTGAAGGTTCAAGAAAGGGTCTTGGCTTTGGAAATGCCGTGGAGAGTTTCTGATTGGTGAAGATTCGGATTTCTGAGCAGCAACAAAGACTCGGTTTTTCTTACTCTCAATCATCCTGAAGGAGTGTCCTTTGCCTGAGTGATTCTCCGGTGATACATTCTTTCTAAGAACAGTGAGCAGCCGAGAATCGGAAGGAGCGAAGCAGGGTGAAATGTAAGCTGCCATGTTGAGAATTCTGTTCAATCCTGTTCAAGTGATTGTTTTTTCCGACTTAACAAGACCTGTTCATGAAAAGCTAATTATGAGTCATATACGATTCCAGCTGAAGCAATCAAAACAAGAGACTATGAACACATGTATAATCATCATTTCTCCAGTCAAAGTCTCGAAAAGAATGAGAATTGAGCTAGGGAAATTATAATTGCAAGTAGCAATCATTAAGAATTAACGAAATTGGAGATGGGTTTGGCGGAATTTGCAGCATTACACGAAAACAAGTTGAGACAGAAGAAACCCGACAAAAAAGTTTTGATTTTGGCAAAGAAAATCGATAGAAAGCGGCAAAACGAAAAGAGAACAGTAAGCGAGAGAATAAACCTGAGAGTAGCAGAAGAGTTGAAAGAGGAGGTAGGAGGAAAAAGTGAGAATTGAAGGAAGGAGCTCGATGAAATGGAAACCCCAAAACGGAGGGTTTTGGTGTTTTCTGGCTAAATATCTCTTTTTCACAATACTCGAATAAAAACAAAAATGCTTTTCTTCTAATTATATCATCACCTATCTCATTAAATTTAGTTGCTAAGCTGGTGAAAGAACAACAATAAGAAAGTTATAAGTACAGTATATTCTAGATTTCATGTACTTTTTATAGATTTTTTTGTACAGTGAATTTTCTAAATGACCATTTGAAAAGATTTATTTGCAAAGAAAAATAGTATCAAAGTCGTAAACAAGTTGAAGTTTTAAAACTTAAAAATAAGTTTACGACTAAAATAGAGAGGAACCACATGTTTGATCAGAGAAAGATAATTATCAATTATGGTGCCTTAAGCGGATTTTTTTCACATGTTGTTGTACTATATACTTAGGCTTACATAATTACATCTCATCACCGTAATCATCTTATAAGACTTAATAACTAAATCATCTGTATAACAAAGTGTGTTTGCCCTTGATCCATCTTGAGTTTACTTAGAATGTCTCTTGTCGAACTGTCTTGCACATTGTGCCATTCCAAGAGCTTGGCGATTGCTGTTAAACTCTATTCTTGGTCTTCGGATTTTCTGAAATTATACAAAGAGCACGTGAGGCTGAACAAAGAGTAACCCGTTGATCTTGAACCAGTTGTGTTTCCGAATAGTGGCAAACATGTCGCATGTTGTGTTTTGGTCACAGTTGAATTAACGAGGGAAGATACCGAACAGAAATCTTATAACAGAACACTTGTTATATTTTCTAAAAGATTCATGATGTTGAAACAGATAATCACTTTCTTGTTGACAAGGAACAGAAGTAAAGATCATCAGAGATAATGTTCCTCCTACCAAACACATAAAAAACATGAAAGGAAAGATTCTATATCTCATTACTCGGGACAAGACAACCAACCACGTACAAATCATCAGTTTTTTCCCCCTCTCTCTGTCTCCGGACTTGTAAACTTCCTTCTTCATCTTCTCTACTGTTTGTTTGTTCAGAGCGGACAACTTGGATTCCTCACCAGTGTCCGCAACCTCCCGTTCACTTTCGGCAGTTTCGGTTGTGCTCTTGTCTTCAAACTCTCAAAATACTGCAAAACCATAAACCAACAAAGATTGTAATGCTTTTTTCCAAGAAAATCCAAAACTCGTATATCTCAATGTGAAAAGTTTTCTTTACCTGTTGCTTCCTCTTCCTCTCCAACTCCCCCTGATGAAAAAAAAAACAAAAAGAAATGTAAATTATAAGAATCCTTTCACAAATGTATTAATACTCTTTAACTAAGTAAACAAAGATAAGTAAATACCAATGCATGTTTTAGCTGCGCGTTCTCTTCTTTCAACTGGTTCAGTTCCGCTTCCAATTCCACTGTATATGCCTTCATAAACCACAAAAAAACGGTAACAAACGTAAGCTTTTCTGCTACAAGTAACACATTCATGATCATCAAACGAATGACAAAGAAGAAGAGAAAATGTTTATATACACCTGCTTTCTTGCTCTAGACCTCGCAGCAGACTCGCGGTTCTTGATCATCCTCCTCTGCCTTCTCTCAACTACTTTCTCCACCGGACCATCCACTACTCTCTTCCTTCCCCTTAACGCTCCCATATCAACTCCATACTGACCTCCTATGTTATCAACTTGCCCATGTCCTAACCCGTCTGACGACACCGGGCTTAACGGTCCAACCATCCCCATTTGCTGCCCACCAGCTCCAAACCCACCACCACCGCCATAGCAAACACCTGGCTGAGCCACTGGAGCCTGCTGGTACCCTCCTCCTGTCCTCTTACCATAACCCGATGGGTCGATGGGCGGACCCGGGAAGCTTGGATCACCAGTTCCTTGAAACACACCATAGAGCTGCTGCTGCGTAGCTGCGGGTATAACACTAGACGTGTTTTGGTTTGAGCTCGGATTAGGTTTAGGGTTAGTAGTGTGTTCTCTAACCACACCAGCCTTCACCAAGAAATCCTCAAGCGTCATCTCCCCAAAGGTCGGTTGTCTAGCCGCGCACTCACCGCCGCCGTTATGAGCACTGTTTTGACCATTACTACTACTACTCCGTCCATTGCTTTCTCCACCACCACCACCACCGCCGCCTCTGTGTATCTCAGACCAAACCTCATCAACAGTCTTCCTACAAAGCGGAGCTGGAAGAGTCAACGAGCCTTGTCGTGGAAGACTAGGCTGCTTAGTTATCCCTGATCTCTTATTACCCCCTGGGTTACCTGAAGGATTACCACCACCAAAGACGCCACTCTCGGCTCCACCATTGTTGTTGTTGTTGCTGAAGCCATTAGGATTAGGTGGAACAGAATGAGAAGCTGCGGCTGCTGCTTGCTGATTGTTGTTGTTCTCCTCTGCGTTCCAAATAGAGACGAGGAACTCGTCCATGTTCATGGATCCGAAGTTCTTGCCGTTCTCACAGAGAGCGTGTTGGAACTCGTCGAGGGTCAACGAGTAGATGGAGGATTGTCTTCCCAATGAAGTAAACGGATGATGCTCTCCTCCTCCTCCATTATGTCTTGCTTGCGCCGTTGATGACTCTATTTCTCGCTCAGACATCATCTCTGTTTCCCTAACTACCATTTACCGACTGCACATACAAAACAATGACCAATTAAGATCTGTATTATTACATAGACTAGTCCACATAATCTGATATTAGTCTAGTACATTCGTGAGAGTCTAATTTGTCGTACTCAGTTATATATACTCGGAAGTATTCAACTATTCATAATGAAATGAATGAAAAATACAAGAAAATGAGATTATTCAATTTGAACTGGTATAAAAAACCGTGAAATAATAAAGTTATCAATAAAACGGGTGATATCATAATATCTTTCAGTGAAAGTAATGGAAATTTGCAGATGAGAAACATTTACACACAGAAAAAGAAACATCAAAATAAAAAAAGAATCAAATGGTGTATTAAGTCGGTCCACGTGAAAATAAAGAAGAACGGTCCACATCGTGACAGCGACAACGATACTAAATTGAGTAATAAACAAACTAATAATTACACATTTCAATAAAAGTTTCGTTTCCGAAAGAGGAAAATATCAAACTTCCCCCTACAGCGAACTTATCAACAACGCATATTTTATGCTGCCTGTCTAATTATTTCAAAGCGTCGTTATCTTCTATGATCCTTATTCCGGCTGTTCAATAATTTAGTGTTTAATCAAATATTACTAAAAATAGATAAAATATCACAGTTTGGTTCATCTTTATATCCGTTTATTACAGAGTATATACATCAGTTTTTTTTTTGAGCTATTACAGAGAGTATACATCAGTTTATTACATGGTTTATACACATCAGTAAATAGATTTTGATACGTAGATAAGGACCCAAAATCAATCCGTAAAAAATCAAAGTTATTTAGCTATAAAAAGAAACAATTTCCTCCCTGAAACAGTCCACTAATCCAAGAAATATACCTTAAGATCTTGAAAAATAAAAAAAAATAAGCAGCAAGAGAACCTGAAACTTAAATTTGTGTGTCCGAAACCGGTGGCTCTGTGTTCCTCCACCGCCGGAAAACTGAGTCTTTCTTTCTTTCTTGGAGATTCTCCTCCTTTACATCGATATAAAGCCGCCGGAGAATTTTAACGGTAAAAATTTGGGAACTTGTTGTGTAGGAAAGGGGAGAGAGATAAAATGTTGGGAGGCGGTAAAAGAGGTTAGATGAGGTATATATGTTCACCGCGATGAAGGGTGGCGCGTGGGACCTACGGGCAGTGGCGTGAAGGTCAACATTTTTTTTGTCCAAAGTTATCTCTTCAACCAATGAGACTTGAAAGAGATGCAAACTTAGAGAGGTCCAGGTCCAGGCCCATGATCAGAGGCAAAGAATCGGTTCGGCCGCGTCTGACACGTGTTGTACACGTGTTTCCTTTCTGTTTCTTGTAGTGGCTCCTCGTCGGCTAGACACGTGTGACTCTTTGCTACAGAAAATGTTTTTTACGTCAAAGCTCTGGATTCTTTTTAAAGCATAATGTATATTTTTAGCAGAATTTTTAAGAAGAGTCAAGAAACTGACTGATGTCAGACTGATAGATATTTTTAGGAGAATCTTTTAAGTAAATTGTTAGCATATATTATTACTAGAGTAAAAACTTCAAACACAAAAGATTTAGTGGAATAAGATAGAAGTAAACCTGAGCCACAAAAACAATTATAGAATAACTTAATCACTATTAAAGATAAATTATTTCAATATCGGTTGAGTTTGATTTAAAGTTTAGGTGTAAAATCATTTGTTAAGACAAGGGATTGAATTAATGCATACTGTTACAAATTTGAATCAAAATTTGAAAATGTAAAATTCCGGTCCGACTTTTCGTGTGTTGCCTTTTCCCTTTTTTAAAGACAATTAAAAAAAAATTACTTGAAAAAAACAAACACATGATTCCAATCTTTAAACATGATCCAGCTGAAAGTGTTTATAAACATGCAAGACACATGCCCCTTAGTTATTTATAGCAAAATAAAAATCTAAAAATACAAAAAATCCGACCTGCCGGAATCGAACCAGCGACCTAAAGATTACAGCAACTACTACAGTCTTCCGCTCTACCAACTGAGCTAAGGTCGGACGCTGATTATTGAGCTTCTTGTTCAGATATTACTAATACTTATTTTATTTTGGGCCATTCTCTTCTGATTCTGGGCCCTTGATGGTGAAAAAGAGAAATCAAATTCCAACAACTTCCACAACTTTTTCCTCCTTTTTATCTTCTCGACCAAAGTCACCAAACACAAGTTGGCTTCAAAAACGTAGTAGTTAGTTCAACTTCAGAGTTGAAGAAACTACAATTCATCTTTAACAATAACAAAATGGTATAATCAAATAACCAAACCTTTTTTGGAATCTTAATCTAATTGTCTAAACCTATCAATTTAAGTTCTTTTTGAAATCTACGAATATTCGCACAGGATTATCATATACGAATCAACATAACAATAACATTCAAGTCTCTCAATGGCTTAACACCTCAGCTTTTAAATAATTACCAATCAAAACATTTTATTAATACATCTCATCTATTTATTTTAATTTTTAAACTTAAACCCATTAAAAACCCAAATATTTTTTTCTATTAACTTTTGTTTTATTTTTTATCAAACCCAAGCCCAAATAATTAATAACAGCAAGTAAAAAATCATTATTTTATTTTTTGTCAAATTCAAACCTAAACAATAAATAAAAACAAATTAAAAAAATTAAATCATTGTTTTCTTTTTTTTGCCAAAACCAAATTCAAATAATAAATAACAGCAAATAAATAATAAAACAAAATTCTAGCTATCTGTTTGTTTGACATAAACATATATGATTGAAAAAATGTAATCTCAGTATCAACCATACTTCCATGACAACACTGCAAAAAGTCTTATGTTATAAGAAGCTCACACATCAACAAAAATTTGAACCGATAAAAACATAACAATTTCTTAGTTTTCGCAAGAAAACATAATTTCACGGGAGATAATGCAATTTTTAGTTTTCGCAGAAAATTGTAGTTTATTTGTTTTTGTAGGAAAGCGTGATTCTCGGCTTGACGAGAAAATGATTTTTTTTTTGCAGGAATAAACGATTTCTCAGTTTATCGCATGAAATTTTTTTTTTCGATTTTGGCAGAAAAATACAATTTTTTTGGTTTTTGCACGAAGATGAAATTTTTTGATTTTTATGAAAAACGTAATTTCTCGGCTTTGGTGGAAAAACACAGGTTCTCGGGGGAAATTGAAATTTTAGATTTTAGGTTTGACGAGAAAATGAATTTTTTGGTTTTGGTGGGAATAGCCGATTTCTCAGTTTAATGGAAAAATGAAGTTTTTCTGTTTTGACGGGAAATGCGATTTCTCGATTTTTGTAAGAAGATGAAATTTCTCTGTGCTAAATTTCCAAGTCAATTTATGTTTACAGTAACCAAAATTTAATTATTTAACTTTAATTAAAAATGATATTTTAAGAGTTCAAACATAATTTTCTATTTAGTTCTAAAACAATAGCAATGATTTTGATATGAATGTTATTGATTATAGTTTGGTAGTTTTAGAAACATATGTTTATAATAAAATATTTGATAAATAAATAAATTTTATAATTCAAAATAATCATATTAATTAATAAATCTTTTTTTAAATGGCATTTTGCTTTATATAATTACAAAAGAGGATCATGTGGTAATTTATTGGAGAAAATAGGTTACATTTGTCATTAGCATGAAGGTACTAAAAATGTATTACTTTATTTTTATATATTTTATTCCTATATACACATTTATAATTAGTTAGCTAACTAAATTTAATAACAAAATATAATTTTGAAAAAAAAATATATATATATAATAATTATTCAAATTTAAAACATATAAATACATAACTTAAGCTAATAAAAAAATAAATATAATACTCATTTATATTATAAAAATAATTTTATTATATTAAAAATATATATAAAATTTAGAAAATATATCGCCGCATAACGCGGATAAATACCTAGTCTAACTCAAAAACTTTAACCTTTTCTTGCTTTTCGCTTACCAAATGAATATAACTTCTATCTTTCCTATTTGCCAAAGTAAAAGAAGACAAAACGATCTCTAACTATATAGCTTTTTGGTCTAGCGAAGACTATTATTATCAATTATATATATACACGTTATACAGCTTACATATAAAGCTATTAATTTATACTCCAATTAAGACTAATATTGAGTGATATATATATATATATATATATATATAGAAGTATTCATCAAGAAATCAGATAAAAAAGCTAACGATGGATGCAGAGTAGTTTTACATAGCTACCAAAACCCTTAAATATACCAGTGAATCAGACAGATCTATAAAGATATCTCTGATCGGTTCAAAGTATTTATAACAAATCATGTCACAAAACCAAATTTTTCCTAATTCTTGACTCCATCGTTTGTTAAGAGCGTCTTAACGATGTTATTAACCATACCTGGAGCAAGCGGGAACATATGCCCTGCTCCAGGAATCTCATGGTAATGAATCCATGGCAGCTTCTTAGCTATGTAACGTTGCAGAGTCACAGGGACAAGAGCGTCATCATCTCCCTGCCACAAGTGCACCGATCCTTCGTTGTTCGGAAACAGATTCTCGAGTTCCATTGGATCAAACTCCCAATTTCCAAACCCAACAATCATGTCACGGTTCACGGTCTCATGTGTTCCTTGCTGCCTTATCTGTGCCTGCAACAAAGAGAATCAGATTTGAGGAAATGCAAATAGGTGAAGAAAGAAAGAAGTGACACAAAAGAATGTTATATATATACCTCATGTGGTCTCCCTGCAGCACCGATCTTAAACAAGATCTCTTTGTCTGAATCAGACAGAGAACCGAGGCTTCGCGTCACAACACTTGAACCAGTGAACCACTTCTGAGAGTTCCACCAATGAGTAAGCCAAGGAGCATAGTGTGCAACACGAACCGCCCACTGATCATTCATCGCCTGTAGGTAATAAGCTTTCTTTGAGATGTCTGATGGAAAATTCTTCCACCAGTAGTTCACTACTGGAGTAACAAGCGCTACTCCTGCTAACCTGAAGGAATCAAACACACATCAAAACCATTTGCTTTCAATAACAATGTTTGTTCTTGAGTGATGATGATACCTGTGAGGAATGTATTTAAGGCATGCCCATGTAGCTTGTCCTCCCATAGAGTAACCAATCACATAGAATTTAGATCCTAGACTCAACTGATCAGCAAGCTCTTCAATGTCTAAAGCCAAGCTTTTGGGAGTACGGTTTGTGTCTGGATCACTCTCTCCATAACCAGGTCTATCAAATGAAACCATGTACACACCAAGTCCTTCCTTAATATCCTACAAACATTGATATGAAATCAAAAAAAGTTTAGATCTTTAAACAGCTAATTAGTAGAGTTTTGTGCAAGAGATCAATCACAAGAAAGTAATACCGGAGAAAGTAGAGCTGCGAAGGCGTTGTCGTGTCTGCAACTATCGGATCCATGGACAAAGACGATCTTATGGGTAGCTTCATCTCTTGGAACTCCATGCTCTTTGTAAGCCAGATGTCTTCCGTCTCTAAGATTAATCCTCGGTGCTGTGATGGATGGACCATTAGGAGAACCACATAGCTTTGGAGGAGGAGGCTTGATCGCTTGATAAGTCGAAGCAGCTATACCGACAGAGAACACCAACAACAGCCTATAGAGAACACCTGTGTGAATCAAGATTCAGACAAACATCAAGTTGCTGTCTTGTCTCTGTAATGAATCACACGGTGTGAAGTCTCTCGAGACCATATCAGTTAAAGAACTCACTCATATGGGCATTTATTATGATTCTTTAAACACATTTGACAAAAAAACATGGAACTATTAAACCAAAACCCATCAAATCCACGAAATGGGCAGGACCCACAGAAAGAATAAACATCTATGAAAATATTCGTCGTTAGATTGATTTGATTTACTGATTTTCTTCTTCACCTTCGTCATAAAACGAAATTTCCAGATAAAGTAATGTGATTTCTAGCAATCATTAAATGTGTCGTCTAGATTTCAACAATCTAATCATCATTACATCTTCGCATGCCCCAGTTCTGGTTATCATTTCTTTTCATTTTTCTTTTCTGACTCGCGTTTTCGACATCTATTGAACAAGATTCAAAATTTGGAATGATCATTGTTAGTGCCAATGGTATAGGCCCCAAATTCGAAATCAAACGGAGAATTTCAAAATGGAAAGAGCGAAAAAGCAAACCTGAGGAGCGGGAGCTCGCGGAATCTGTCGATCCAGTAGCCATTGGCCAAGAGAGAGAAGCAGAGAGAGAGATACAGAGAGAGAGAGAGAGACAGAAGTAGCTGGAGGAAGTGAGAGAAGAGGTTGGTCTAATTAACGCAGGTTACTTGCAACTTTGGTACTTTCTTGTTTGTTTGGTTAATCCACTGTAATAGGAAGGAGATGTGAATGTGCTTAAGCTACGTAATCCGTTGATTAATGCACGATTAAAGAAAAAGAAAAATAGATTACTATCTCGCAGGAAAAACTTTGTAAATAGAAAACTAGACCCGAGAACAAAATTTAAAAGGGGAAAAAGGAAAATTAAATGTGCAAAGTTATTTTGGTAGGTGAAAATAGTCAAATATGTCTATAGATATTGAATTGCATTGTGTAAGATATTTTTACAAAAAAAAAAATGGCCTGCGTATATGTATATTTTAGGTTTCTAATTCTATGTATGATTTGAATTTCTTTTCTTTTTTGTAAAAAAATTCGTATTATGATTTGTGAGGTTTGTATTTTAAAAATTAAAAAAGTGTATACATATTTTAGTTTAACTATGATGCTACGAAAGAAAAGATTGAAAAACAATTTAAGAAGGGTTAATACATTTGTATTTGGTTCGTGTTAGGTGTACCTTCTCCTCCATAAAACCTTTTATAGTAACAATAAAAAAAAATCTATCATTTAGTCTCGACAATGATGTGGTTGTGCCATATATATAAAATTATAAACTATAATGCAGTCTACATATACCAGGAATTGGAATTGGACATTTGAAATTCATTGCATTTGGGTTTGAACAAGTTCTTTTGGATTAAATTTTCATAATTGTTACCATCAGTTTTATTTGTATAGCAAAACAGAGATGTTCATCTGGATCAGAGCTTTCTATTAGGAAATTATATATATGAATCCCAGAGTTAATCTAAGTGACAATTAGCATAAAGCATAGTGTTGTGTGTTTTTAAACACACGTTGACAGTAAAATTTGTATTTTAGGCAACAATGACTGATCAGTGAATTGTTTAGACTTTAGAGTAAACCGGGAAACAATATGTTTATCAAAGTCGAGTTGTACTTGAAAGTACATATAGCATTTATTGTTATCAGACAGCAATTATTGTTATCAGGATCTACAACAAATTCTGTCTTAGGGGGCTTTCCCGTGAACTTTTGTCTATGTAGAAACTCTTACAAATCGAGATTTTTTTTATTCTTTTCGTATTTTCCTTTTTACTTTACAATATATAGAAACAACTCCCGAGTCCCAAAAATTCCCAACAAAAATAGTTGTGGATTCGTTGAGGACCGTTCCGCTAACCCATCTTCTCTTCTAATCACCTTTATAAATACATCATTAAATCACATAATCAAGATAAGCCACAACGAGTCCCATATCGTAAATTAATCGGGATTAGCATGACACGTCGAGCTGGTTTTGCTAACAGAGTAACAGAAGAAGAGAAACAAGAATCAAATGAACCTGCACGCAATGGCGAGGGATGTAGTGAAGAAGACGGCGAGGAGGATGATCTGTTCGAAATAAACCTAGAAGCCGTGAGTGATACTACTTCTACGTCGTCTCCGCCGTATAATTGGCAGAGGTTTCCGTCGAGGACAAGCAGCGTTTTACTGGCGAACTGTCTGTTACCAGCTGCGGACATCTCATGTGCCGTACCGGCAACGTCAAGGGCTTGGAACGATTTGGTTTGGTGTAGAGGGTTTCTCTATGTTAATAATATAGGGATTGAGGATAAGGAAGCTTCATTATTTTCTTTTAAAACCTAATAATGTTAATTATTTTGTAGTTTTGTATAACTATTGTAACTGTTAGTGTTTATGGGATCCTCGATTTGGAGTTTATACATATTTTACTTAACATCAGAAAATCACTTGCAAGTCCTGCTAACAACAGAGATTTGTTTTTGCTCAATCAAGACTATGAAACAACTTAGTTATGACTCTTCTAACGCAGTTTCTCTTTGGATCGAAATATAGAAACATGAAACTGAGTCACTGATATGAAAAAAGGTAAACAAAAACTTCTAAACGACCACACATGTTTCTTCTCTACATCCTCCAAAACTCAGTGTAATGGCAGCATCGAAAATCAACAGAAGCTAACCTTCCCTCGTAACCTAGCTATCATATGACTTGGAACTAAAGTATAAGCAAATCCTAAACAATGTCAAGCACTACTAGAACTTGGGACCTAATATAAGCAAAACTTCAAAACTTTCTAAAAAGAAGCATGTAAGCTCTTCATCAATACACAAGATGTGTTCTTCATTAGTTCAGTGAGCATTCCGATTACTCTCACAAATCTAATCCCAAGGAACAATTATAAAGATAACATTGATGAATTGTGTAAAAGAAACCTGGAAAAATCAAGTGACAGATACAAACATTGAATCAAATTTCTTAAACATTCTTTCTAAAGTTACCAACAAAAGAAAAAGCCTTTACACGTCGTTTGCTATTCTCCTCACACCAAAGATCTTAAAGTTGCAGCAAAATTTCTGCTACTTACTTGCTAACGGCATTGGAAGATTCACATTACTATCAATATTTTGAAGAAAGCATAACAGAGGAAATCAAAATATAACGAGAAGAGAGAAGAGAGTATAGATCAAGAAACAAGCGTACGAGATCAAGCCACGATGTTCTTCTCCGCCGTCGGCGAGAGACACCACCAAATTGGAGCATGCCCTTGTGGACCACAACACAAACACCGCCGCGAGCACGAACCGGACCGGCCCCGCCCCTTGCGGCACGAATAGTGACACCGCCGATAAGATCACCACCGGAAGAAGACAGTATCCGACGAGGCTCGTGCACGTATGGAGATTAAGGTTCCCGTTTCGACCAGCAAGCATGTTGAAGACGGCGTACAGGAAGATAGAGGAGACGACGATCCATCCGAGTATGACACCGAACTGGATCTTCCCGGCGAGCAACTGGAAAAGGCAAAGCGCGAGGTATAGAAAGATCGGGCCAGATAGATCTGAGTCCTTGTGGACGGTCTGGTTGATCCGGAAAGGATTGAGAATCGATCTAGTCTTCTTCCAGATTTGATCTGGGTGGATTCCGAGCTCGTCAAGCAAAGGCTCCTCGTCTTCGAACGAAGCTGAGCCTCCGCCGAAAGATGAGGATGAGGTCATCGTGCCGCCGAAAGGTCCGGCGGGCGTAGCAGAGGACGCGGCTGCGGATCCCATGTCGAACGACATGAAAGGGATGGCGGAACTGGAGGGACGCGGCGGTTGAAACGGAGCCGTCGGGAATCGTCGTTGCTGGACATTAGCACCGGCCGAAGATCCGCCGGAGGGGAAGACAACAGGTGGAACTGCGAAGTCCTTCGTCATCTTCAAATTGGTTTCCAAAATTGAGATCCCAAAATCAATCAAAGGATTCAAAATTAGGGTTCAGGTTGGGATCAACGAGAGAACATTTAACACCCTCTCACGTTCGTGGCGTTTCACAGAAATTCCCTTTTTTCCTTGAAAGTGAAGCAGCGTACAACTTTGCGAACAAAGAAGAAGGCGTCTGAGGGTAGTTTCGTCAATCCATCTAGTAATATAGTAAAAAGATGACGAAATATATACGCTAGAGCTTCTTCGACATTGGCATGTTGACGTATATCACCCAGAGGAATTACCATAGTATCCTTCTTATATGCTTAAGTAATTTGGTGTAAAGGCCCAATGAGTCTCACAGGCCCAGTAACCATCTATTAACATGGCACGATGTTATTGGTTAACAAAGATCGCCGGGCTAACAATTTAACCAGCAAAGAAAAGCCGGTGGCTTCCACATTTAGTCGGTTGATTTCTCCAGCTTTTTAAGAGCAGCTTCATCGGTAGATATCTAAGTAGAATATCTTAATATAACAAAATGATAAATAATGATTAATTAAAAAGGAAAAAAAATTAGAAAAAGAAAGTTTCTCAAAAACATATCCTTATTTTATTAGCTTTTTTATTATTTAAATTTTGTCATGTTATTAACTAAATTAGTATTAAATTATTATGGATTCAAATTTAAATACTTACTTGATAGAAGTGCTCTTACTAACTTTTGAATATGGCTTTCGATGTTGAGAGCATCTAGATGCTGATGGCGGTGACTGCTTGTATCCTTAAGTCATTATACTGTATTTTTCAGGGCTTGGTGAGAGAGTTGAGTCAGAGATACAAAAGCTTGATCGAAAAAGATGAACCCATGAAGGAATCACTATGTTGGTTAACACCTTAATATTTGTTTAGACCTTAGATTAAATAAACAGTTTCACACGTTTTCGGGCTCTCACGATTCATCAAACATTTATAAAAGAAAAATTGAAGAGATATCGATTATTAGATACCGATTGGAAATCTGAGAATTTTTTTGTATTTATAGTTAGCTTTGTTTTTAACAGCTATATAATTTTATGATTTGATTTGCTCCAAAATTATACAAATATCCAATTTTTTGACCAAAAAGTTCATTAAATATTTTTATACGAAGAATTTGGATTTTTATTTCTAATAAATACAATTTTTCCCAAATTAATTAGAGTAACCAGTTAAAGTAAGGATAATAAATTCACAAAGATATCTCTTATTAGAAGCCAAATAAGGAAGGATATAAAATATTCATTGAACCCATAAATAAATGTTTAAAGAGGAATAGTTAATTTGTCCGTTAAAATATCTTTATAATTATTTCTATAATTTAATAATTAAATTGTGTTAAAAAAAAAAAAAAAGCCTTCTTCGGAATTGACATGGTGACGCATATGACTGTAATCCAAGAATAAAACACTAGTTACAAGAATTTATGAAATCTCTCGTCCTATTATTTTTGCTCGAGAAATGTTAGATAAAAAGCTGGGAGGCCTCTCTTGTTCTTGGAGTTTTTGGCATAAAGACAGATCATCTGGTAAGTTCTTTGGTCTACCTCGTAGCTAGTTGTATCTTGTATGCTTAGTAATCGTATAAAGTCTCCATATGTCCATCTTTAGATTCAGATGATTGTACTCGATACGTCCTTGCTATCAGTAGATGATGTTTTGTGATTATGGAACAGTGGCAAGGAATGTTGTATCCTCTTCTGTTGACCTCGCTCATTTATGCCGGATCTTTGGTCTCCAATGTGTTATTTCTCCTGGAATCATGGCGGGAAAATGGTGGAGGAGGTAGCTCTTTGGATTACATCAAAAGCTTTGTCCAAACAACCCTTGCTTGGGTACTGACAGGTGCTTCTGATGTTTCCGTGTGGCGCAATTTTGTCGTGGTAATCATCTCTTTCACCATCACTTTCCAAATTATTTGTATCCAGGCTGCATAAGACATGGCTTTGGATTAATCTGACGGCAATTTACATATTAGTTTGGTTTGTTTTGCATAAGTAGGAGCTCGTTTTCAGAGCTTGTATGATACCTTTGCTTCTCTGTGCTGGATTTAGGATATACAGCGCGTTTAATATAGTAGAATGAAGAGTGCTCTGAGCTAACTAAGAACTCGTCTGCTTGCACATAATTATACTGGAAAATTTTGAAAGACGACGAAGATCTATATATACAAATATATATATTTTTATGGGTTTTCACAAGTCGCATACTGAATTAGGATTACTTATTAAAAAAATTCAGATCGTAGTCGCATACTCTTTCATTCCACCTTATATGATTGTGGCCGCCGGTGCGGTACGTATTTTGCTATATCATTGACATATTGCTATTCATTTGTATTGTATATGATACGTTAGTCCAAAATATTATTGTACACACTATTCTGCTAATTTTCATTGATTCAGAAATATTATTAAATTCAAAAGTCTTTCTATTACTAATTTCTAAAACAAAAAGATGGGAAAAATTAGCACTCCCTAATTCTATTTTATTATTTTATAATCCTTCAGCTCTCAATTTTCCTCTAGAAGCAAAGTCTCAAACACACCTAGCTAGAGTAGCTGAGAAAGCATATGAAAACAAAGGAGAAAGCGAGTTGAGATGCTGACACGCTTTGATCTCGATTGTCCAATTGGTTCTGGCGAGATTGAGCGATCTCATCCGTACGTTGTTCTTCAAGGTTAGAGCCTAGTTGCACCATGAGCAATAACTTAGAACTCTGCCTTGACCTACAAGTAACCAGGTGATCTTTCACCGATTTGAGACAAGTTGTTCATAGGCTCGTGGGCGCTTCGTATAGATGCAGATTAGGAACACGAAAGAGAAGAAAGTGAGGCTGAAAATGTATTTGAGAATTTGAATTGAACAAGTGGTTCACTTAGACGTTATAGTTGAGCACTATGTCGAGTTACCTGCTCTGTCTCTCGAGCTATAAACCATTGTTTGATTCTTCCACAAGTTTCCTCTATCTTGAAAGGACACAACAACCATTAATTACTTTCACCGGATTTGATTGTGTCAATAGGATCATACCATGGTAACTTTCTTGTGAAGTAGGTTGGGCAATGAAATGTATGACTGGAACGAAAAGAGTTTTGTCCTTTTGAAATCTTTGACGATCAGTAACCGAATTCATCCGGAGGGGAAATTTCAGTCTTGAATTGAGTAGTGGATAAGAGAAGCTGAGATGATGTTGAAACCCTTGACATAGATTCCACCTCTTTCACCATCTTTCTTCTATCGCAGGATGGTTCAATGGCGATTCCAGCTCTTTTTAAACTTTATCTAAAAAGTTATACTAAAATTATAAGAATATAAGATGATATTCTTCGTAAAACAAAAATAACTTCAACAATGATATTTTCTTGTAGCTAAAAGGGAAAAAGAAGTATATATTAACTAGAAACGAATCTTGGATTAATGGTTGAGATTAACCCACATGTTGTTTTTGCATGGATGCATAATCACGTAACAATTTAAATGCCATTTATATCCTAAAATTTGGTTCCTCACATAAGGCTTCTTCACTCTAGTCTCTCTAGCTCTGCCTCTTGTCATTCTCCCTTACTCTCTAAAACATGAAACTAACTCCTCCTTCGCTCTTCCACATCTGGCCACCTTCCTCCATAGCGGCAAGCCTTTTCCATATTTTCTGATTTAGTGCTTCTACTTCCATGCATGTTTCCGAGTTGAAGACAAACTAAATAAAAGGATTCAGGTATAACTCTCTAAGAATCTAAGAGGGGTTTTAAAGTTCCCGGAACCATCTGAAGTTCGTCAAAGTCGAGTTCTTTTTTTTTTTGATGATCTTGCTTGAATAAAATCACATATTTGAGGAATTTGTTAAACCCAAATCATAAGGCTAGCATGTTTTGAGTTCAAAACTGGTGAAAAGGTTGAGAAGTCTCGGAAAGTTTTGCTTTTCGCGGGTCAATGATGTTGGGCTCATGACGTGCCCGCTTTAGCGATCAAAGGAAATTTTGGTTTGGTTTTCGTTGCTTGTCACACCAAAATCAAACAGAAAAAAATTGGATTGGTTTTACTTACATGTATGAAATTTCGCTGGTGTTAGTTAGTCCTCGAGAACCTTTAAGTAGAGGAACAATCTTGAGGCTTAATGGAAAAAGAGAAGGAAACAAAGATTCAGACAAAAGGGGTGGGAACAAAACAGCCAAATGTTTGATGGGCACCAACCACTGATAATCTAAAGAGTAACAATCAAACAATTATTGAATTTGATCTAAAACGGTTTCATAATATTTCTATTTTAAATGTTTCAAACGTTTAAATAAATTACAAAAAAAAAAGTTTCACAAAATGACATGTTTTTGACATTAAAAATAAAATAAAATAAAGTATACAAATAGCCAAAATGTTTTCCGCTAAACAATAATCAAAATGTTACGAAATGGTGTGACGGACCCAATAACATCGTGCCCGTGAAACCGATTGGGTCGGGCCTTAATACAGAAAATAATTAAGGATATTACAGTATTAAGGATTTTCCCCGATACGTCACCATGTCAAATGCGGAACAAGCTTTTAGGGTATATACAGTATTATTGTCGTCACACTGTATTTAAGTATAATACGAAATTGTATTTTTGGGATCTTGCAAATTTTAAGGTAACGAAGGACTTGAGATGAAATGAAAAAACAAAGACATGCTTTTAGGGGTGTAATCGTAATATTATGTGGCTGACAGTTTACACAGGAAAAGCAACAAAACACAAAAAATGGGAGCTTCGCTCAATATTTAATACGTTTTTTATCAGTTAGCTCGGAGAGAGGATTAAGAAGAATGGCGATTGATTTGGAATCTCCGATCAGGGCTTGGTGAGAGAGTTAACTTAGAGCTACAAATGCTTGATCGAAAAAAAGGTTTTTATGAACGATGAACGATCACTCTGATAGTTAACACCTTAATATTTGTTTAGACCCTAAATTAAATAAACAATTTCACATATTTTCTCACTTCCACCACTCATCAAACATTTACAAAGAAACTGAAAAGATATCGATTACTAGATATGAATTGAATATCCGAAATTTTTTTTGTATTTATAGTTTACTATACTTTTAACGGATATGTAATTTATGATTTGATTTGTTCTAGAATTGTATGAATATCCAAATTTTTGATTAAAAAATTTATTATTACTTTTATATCAGAAAATTTGGGTTTTTATCTCCAATAAATATAATTTACGAGAAATTTAGGTTTTCATTTCTAATAAATGCAATTTTTTTCCAAATTAGTTAAAGTAGTCAATTAAAATAAAGATAATAAAATTACGAAGATATAAGCCAAATAAGAAAAGATATAAAATATTCATTGAATCCATAAATGTTTAAAGAATAGTAGTTAATTTGTTGGTTAAAATATCTTTATAATTATTTTTATAATTTGACAATTAAAATGTGTAAAAAGAAAAAAGAAAAAAAGAAAAAAAAAAAAGCTTCTTCGGCATTGACATAGTGACGTATATCACCTATCAGAGAAATGACTGTAGTATCCTCTTTCTTTATAAGCTTAAGTAATTTTTTACAAAGGCCCAATCCTATGGGTTCCACGGGCCCAGTAACCATCGATAAACGGGGCACGATGTTATTGGTTAAAGTCTACTCCGACACGAAGACAGCCGGGCTAAGAATTGAACCAGCGAAGAAAAGCCGGTGGATTTGTCGTCGGAGATTTCTCAGCTCCTTTACTAACTTTTTAATATGCCTGTCAATGGCGAGAGTATCTCGACGCCTGTGGCGGTGGCCGCGTGCGTGGCTATGGCACTATTCTACGTCTTGATCCTTTACGCTCCCACCGTGATTCTACGCCTGCCCTCGGCTTCTTCTTTCTCTGACTTCATGATTCGGCGATTCATTTGCGCGGCCATCTCTACGATCGCGTCTCTCATCTTCACAGCTTTCCTACTCCCTGTAAGCTTCTCGAATTTTGAAGTCAACACTCCGTTGATCTGTAACCAAATCATAGGTCAAAGCTAGAAGAAGCTACTTATAGTTTGTATGAGCTCTTGGTACTGGTTCAAGTTGATTTGAAGTCTCTCTGTAATCGATGAAGAGCAGAGAAAATTTTAACTGAATTCAACTTTGATTTAGTGAATGGTGACTTATCGCTCAATGAAACTCAAACAAAAAGGTGCAGAGATTCTATGTCTGAGTGGCTTTGTTCAGAGTTGAATTCTTGCTTTACTCTACTTGCTTCAGATTTGTAGCTAAGCTCACATTACAGCAATAGACACAAGACAATGCTCTGTTTGGTACTTATGCAACACTAGTTACAAGAATTTCTGAAATCTCTCGTCCTTTTGTTTTTGCTCGAGAAATGTTAGGTAAAAAGCTGGGAGGCCTCTCTTGTTCTTGGAGTATTTGGCATAAGGACAGATCATCTGGTAAGTTCTTTGGTCTACCTCGTAGCTAGTTGTATTCTTAGTAATAGTATAAAGTCTCCATATGTCCATCTTTAGTAGATGATGTTTTGTGATGATGGAACAGTGGCAAGGAATGTTGTATCCTCTTCTGTTGACCTCGCTCATTTATGCCGGATCTTTGGTCTCCAACATGTTATTGCTCCTGGAATCATGGCGGGAAAATGGTGGAGGAGGTAGCTCTTTGGATTACATCAAAAGCTTTGTCCAAACAGCTCCTGCTTGGGTACTTACAGGTGCTTCTGATGTTTCCGTGTGGCGCAATTTTGTCGTGGTAATCATCTCTTTCACCATCACTATCCAATATACATCTCTTTCACCATCACTTCGTTTTCCTACTTTTTGTTTTGTTTTGCATAAGTACTATTAAGTAGTAGCTGTGCATTTTCTTTGTGATTTTCAGGCACCATTAACTGAGGAGCTTGTTTTCAGAGCCTGCATGATACCTTTGCTTCTCTGTGCTGGATTTAGGATATACAGCGCGATATTTCTCTGCCCGATCCTCTTTAGCTTGGGTTTGTTTTCTCTGATACTCTGTGAATGGCAGTTTACAACTAGAGTGAGATGAATATCGCTGGATTTTGGATTCTTGTATGTTTTGTGCAGCTCACTTGAACCATTTTAGAGAAATGTACATCAGGCATAACCGCAGCTACATCAAGGCTTTACTGGTTGTTGGTATGTCTCAGTTTAACCATTGCCATAATCATAACCATTGTCTCTCAGACGTGACGAATCAGTCTTGAGCTTAACTTTGTCCTTTGATCAGGTCTTCAGCTTGGATACACAGTCGTTTTTGGTTCATATGCATCGTTTCTCTTCATCAGAACAGGTATGTTCCGTGCATTATATAATTACATGTGAAGCCCTTCTAGTGTTATCCATTGATGTTGATGAATATGATGATGTTTTCCTGCATTGTGTAATATTTACAGGACATCTCACTGCGCCTTTGCTTGCTCATATATTCTGCAATTACATGGGGTTGCCTTTGTTATACGCACGGGGAAAAGGTAATAAAGAAAAAAAGACATAATAAGTTTCAAAGTTTGTAACAAAATGCAAATGCAGAAGAATAAGCTAAAGATGCTCTCATGGTTCTTTCTCTCAGGTTTGGTGAGTGCAGCGTTCTTGGTCGGTGTGGTTGGGTTTGTCACGCTTCTCTTTCCTTTAACAAATCCTCTCATGTACAACGATAGAACCAATGATTGTCCGTGTTGGGTTGGCTATTGTTTGTGGAAGTGAAATCTACAATCTCACATATCTGAATTTATGTTTTCCAAATTTCCACTGATCAAATGTCTTAGTGTTCTTAAACGGATATTGTGGTCCGTTAATCAAGTTGTTTTTTAACAGATACAGAAGTTAACGGCGTATTAGTTTAGCTAGGCATGATTTAGATCGTCTGTGTAGTTTATACGCTTGTAAATTCTGATTTATGTAATTAGACAAAAAAAAAGATGATATTCGAAATTTTAAATGTTTGAATATCAGTCCCTGGTGAATTTACTTTCTAACATAGCAAGTCTAATTCTCCGAAGCCTGCCAAAATTCATTTAATTTATTTTTATGTTTCTAACTATATAAACAATGATTGTAGACATTGAACATATGTCCCATAATCTTACATCAGAAGACGATGCCTTGTATGATCTTCCAAAGAGATTTTAGGGGTAATGATCAAACGGAATAGTTTTCTGAAACTATATTACAAAGTTGACTTTCCAAGTCTGAATTTATGATGATGATGTACTTACACGACTATTTAAATGTTTGGAGATTCGTAGGTCGCTAAGTAGTTCACAAACACTTGATTTCATAGGGATGTACTTGAGCAATCATACAAATCAGAAGAATATGAAAAGAAATGATAAACATCTATATAATCTTTATGGCACAACATTTTAGTTCTCAACAACAAATCAGAATAGCTTAAAAGTTAAAAAAAAGTAAATATTTAACAGGAATAGACAAAAAATAGAATGGCTGCTTAAGTACAATTGTACAAATTAAAATAAATAAAAAAATCTAAATTAGAAGCACCATTAATAAGCTAGCTTCTAAGAGCATCTCCAACCCTATTTCATTTTCAATTCCAAATGCAATTTTTAAGTAAAATCTTCTATAATCCTATTCCATTTTCAACTCCAAAATGGAGTAAACTTAAATTTTACTCCGTATTTGGAGTAGATCTAAACTCTATTCCATTTTGGAGTTGAACTTTTTTATTTGCAAATTAACCTTTTAGATTTAAAATAATTATATGTTATACTATTTAATGTTTATAAATATTATAAAACTGATAATTATGAATATTTAAACACTATAATTATTTCCAGAAAAAAATTCAAAATACAATAAACTTAGAAATACATAATAAGTGCTGAAATTAAAATAAAATTCAAGACAATAAATACAAAAATATTAATGATAAATTTTTTAGTAATAGTAATGTTTAAATAAAAATTGCATATGTTTTTTCTGATGTTATGTAAGTTTTATTATTTGATTAATATTTAATTTATAATTTATGAAAAAAAAATGTAAATAATAAAATAAGTAGGGTTTATTTATAATTTCTAAAACCAAAAGGTATTAGTAATAAAATTGAATAAGAATCTATTTAGAATATTCATTTTTTTGAGTAGAAAATGAAGAAATACATTAGAGTAAAACACAATTCCATTTTGGAGTTACTATATTTTAAAGTAGAATAAAGAAATACATTGGAGATGGTTTAAGAGAAATAGAAGCTATGGTTTAAGAGAAATAGAGGCTTTGGAGATCAACTCGAGCAGTAGGATCTAATAAATACATTCAATAGGATTACAACTTTGATCACGTGATTGATATTGGTATCAGTAAGTACCTATGTTTTACTTTTACTAAACACTTTTCTTTTAGAGTTATCTTCTTACATCATTTTATCAATATAGTTTCAATACTTATCCACTTTTTTTCTTATCAGTTACATATTATTACTTTGAAAATGAACCTGGCTAAGATTATAATTCTCTTAACTAACATAAGTGTGAAGTAGAAGAAATTGTTTTTGAGGAAACAAAGAAAAATGTAGAATAATAATAATAAAAGGGATAAATATATAGAAACTATAAAGATACTGGTTGTTTAAGAGAAGAGCAGAAGGTACAATGTAGTCCCAGAATCCACCAAATCCTAAAGAACCAAACCCCACATGAAAAGGCAAAAAGAAAATCTAATTAACATATAAATGGAAACAAAAGTAAAATATCCCTGAGAGAAGATAGGTAAGAGAGACACAACGCTTCTGTCCTTTTTGTAGTAAATCATTTAGAAGAACCCACACAAATCAAAATAAAATAAGCAACAAGAAAACTACTTGATGATTAATAATAATACTACCACTAAGGCACTAACCACACTACTCTTAACTATTTTCTTACATGACACCAAAATAAAATATAAAAAAAAAGAGACAAAAGGATGGGTTCTTCTAATTGAGCAGGGTCATGATGATTTTTTTTAGACTACCAAATCCAAATCTTGTCCTAAGAGTTTTTGTTGCATCAGGATTTTTCAGAAGCAGAGCTTGATGAAGAGAGATTGTTGTTGCTTCCTTGATTTGATCCATTAGTGTTCTTGTTTTTGGAGAGCTTCTGATTGAGTTCAAAGAGAAGCTGTTGATTCTCCTGATTCAGAATCTGAGCTTTCTTCCTCAACCTCTCGTTCTCCATTATGATATAACAGTTTTGCAGGTACAGCTTCGAGTTTAGCTTCTCCATTTTCGATAAACCTTGCTCTGTTCCTTCAGAATTTTGAAATCATGAATTAAAAGAAAAGAGAAGAAGATTTGATTTATTAAAGCTCTATGTTATGATTATAGTTGAAGTTAAATCATTGCAGCACCACATGGGTTGTGCAGCTTCACACGTTTAATGTGGAATTACATTAAGCAAAAATCATGACCGCATTTATTTCGTTTTCAACCAAAAATGTCAATTTTTTTTTCTTTTAAATATAAATCAATGATCAAACAGAGGAACAATCATGCTCTTTTTGGTTGCGAGGATAGAAAAAGATAAAGCCACCACAACAATGAAAACAAAATAAGTAATGATGATGCAGTAAGTATAATGATGAAATGTGAAAACGAAAATACAACACAAAAAAAACTATTAATTCGAAAACCGACCAAAACAGAGCAGGTACGAGCTAAAAAACAGAGCCAATAATCTTTATCGTAAAATTAAAGGAGAAGAAAAGCGAGTTTTAAAATCCTTTAACAAAAAAAAAGAAAAGAAGAAAAGCGAGTTTTTGAAACAGAAAAGAAAATGAAGAAGCAAACAAATAGGGTTTATTCCGTTGCCTTTGTCTGAAAGAAAAGGATAAAGCTTTTGTGTTTTTTCACATCAGTTTAAAGATTTGTTAATTAAATAAATAAAACGAAAGAAAACAAATCGTTGGGTTGTTATGCAAATGATATTCACGTTGCTTGTACGTTAGGGAAGACAAATCTAGAGAGAGAGAGAGTGTGTGTAGATAATAGAAGATGGAAACAGAGAAGAACTAAATGGCGCCATTGAACTAACAAGATATTGACGATTCTACAGAGAGAGATTACCTTTAGGGGAAGACTGTTGGAACCGGGAGAAGAAGAAGTGAAGTGGGTTATGTTTTGTAAGGGATTGAATGTATGGATGGTAGAGGGACAAAGAGAACAAAATGAAGACAGTGTGTCTTATATAGAACCCCAAAAAGCTAGAGAGAGGAGAGAGAAAGGGACATGCCTCTCTCTCCTGACACAACAATCATGCTTTGTGTTGTGTTTGTGCTTAGATGGCGGCCGAATTCGCAGCTCAACATTTTATTTTTGTTTTTTTCTTTTATTATAATTAATAATAATAATTTTTTGAAGGTAAAAAGATTTATGTTGCGTCATGTGAATGATGATCGAACGAGGAGAGAGAGAGAGAGAGATAAAAGAAGAAAATTAGAGGGAAACTTGGTTGGTTTGTTTTGAAATTTCGCTCTAGGGTTATGGTTTGGTAAAGTGGTTTGGTATGAGATATATACATAACCGTTCTATCTTTCGATCATGTTCATTCTCGACCAGCCACATAATCATTTCACATTGCCTCATCTCACCATTTTGATATCATAATAGACCCAATAAAATTATTATAGTAGATGTCACCCCAATATTTACGAAAATAAAAGTCATAATTAATAGTGATAGTAATCACTATATATACAGTCAGATTTAATATATAGACCGGCTTAGTACGTATATAGCAAGGGGTAAATTTTGTAGTAAATGAATGGGGTAAAAAGTAATTAAAGAAATGGGTTGGGTGAAATGAGTTACTGAGTGAAAATGATGATGAAGAGGAGGGCTATATAGGCCGTCGTCCCATAAAGATTCGCAATGATAGTTTGGGATTGGTTTGAGCCATCATCATTCATTATCCATCTTCAATTTTTTTCAATTTGGACCATTTTCGTTACTCTCTTTACTCATTTCATTTCCCGGTTTGGTCAATATTGGTTTAGTCAACACTACTCATCATCAGCCATAATAACACGTTTTAGAGGGTGTTCGTGTCCGATTTTCTTCATGACCTTTTTTTCTTTTCTTTTTCTTTCATCATCCTTTATTTAGACAAAGATCGAAATAATTACAAATTAAAGAAAAGAAAGAAATTATGTTGAGGAAAGTTTTGGGACCCCATATAAACTTAATTACGATTAAGAATAAAATCTCCATGTGTTAACTGTTAATTATGAGTGCCACAGCGTGAAAGATGATAGCTTAACAAGGTGGGGGTTGTCTTTTATTTTTATGGGCATTTCGTCATTTCATCATACAGCTTCACTAACCATCGTCCCTCGTGCATGGACCTCGTTTGGTTGCATAATAATACGAATTATTGCACTTTCACGTTTATAATTGCTTTTTCTTTATCAAATCTTGTGATTTGTTTTTGGGATTTTGTTATTTTATTCACGGAATAAATTTTTGGATATCGTATTAATGCATGTCTTGTGAACTGTGAATGAGATTGGTTGATGTGTTAATGACACATTAATTGTTATTGATGTTCTTCCTTTTGAGCTAAGCATTCCAAATTGACAACGGTTTTAAATTTTCAAAACACAAGTTTGAACCCATAATTACTATGTGTGTCTTCAAATAGAACTGTGAATAAATAGTAGTGGTTGCACTACTTGCTTACATCAAAGGCAATGATAATTAATAAGTAGAGAGGGAAAATATGAAATGACATACTTGCCCTTCAAATGGTTTGGTTCTCTTCAAAAATGCATCTCTCCGTCATACAGAACATGATTAGCCTCAAAACTTATCTCTTCTCTTTGGAAACTTTTCCTCTGTTTGTTTTTCTCT